CCTCCCTGCGGTGAGGGCATGCCGACACGGCTGGGCCGCGTGCCGTGCGAGAGCCGCAGACCCCTCGGTATTTCTCTTCAGCTCTTCTCCATACCTTCCCCACTCATTGTAGGAGCTGGAAGCGCTTAAAGCTCGGGTCTGGGAGATGGAGGAAAAAGCCGAGAAGCTAAAAGAGCTGCAGAACGAGGTGGAGAAGCAGATGAATATGAGTCCACCTCCAGGCAATGGTGAGTGGCTGGCGCTTGCACGCGGAGCCGGTGCCCGGATGGGAAGGGTTATGCGGGATGAGATGGTCTGGACCTTGGAGCTGCTTGTCGGCAATTGCTGACCCGGTGCCGGCGGGCATAGTCCATTGTGTATTCCGTTGACCTTTGTGAAGCAAGCTGTTTTGGTGAGGGTAGTGGGTGCCTCCCTTTGTCCCTGTTACAAATACTGTATTTCTTTGTTCTTAGTCTACCTCTACCCTTTGTGGAGGTTGCCAGCTGGCATTTGACCTTCAAGCTTAATAGTTCTTCCTTACATTGGTGACTCTTTAGTTAGGAGTCCTGAGATAAACCGCTCAGCTGCAGGGGCTTCCCCTTTGATCAGATCATTTCAACCAAACCTATTCATTAGGGACTTGACTTGGGAATGGGAGGGGATTCCTGTACTGTTTTCTTTGATTTTTTTTTTTATTTCTTCATTTGGCTAATATTTAGTGAGAACCTACTGTGTGCTAGGCACTATTTTAGGCAATGGGTACAGCAAAGAATGAACCAAAATCTTCGTGTTCACTAGTGATGATGGTGGTGGTTCATATATTGGTCAAGTAAAAAGCAATTTTTTTTTTTCCTCCAAAGCTGGCCCAGTGATCATGTCTATCGAAGAGAAGATGGAGGCTGATGCCCGTTCCATCTATGTTGGCAATGTATGTACTAAGGCCCAGATTGGGGTTGGTAGGAGGTCTTATTTTGGGGAGTCATTTAATAGAAGCCTTGAAAGGAACATCTCTAGGATAGGTGATAGATTTGGGGGCTGAGGGAGTGTTGGGAAGTGGTAAAAAGTAATAGCAATCAGCAGAGCCTCTGGCGTTGGAAAGAAAAGAGAACCAGATTTGATGTACTTTCCTCTATATCAGTGATGGCGAACCTATTGAGCTCGGCGTGTCAGCATTTTGAAAAACCCTAACTCAACTCGGGTGCCGTGTCACATAGAGAAATTTTTTGATATTTGCAACCATAGTAAAACAAAGACTTATATTTTTGATATATTTTATATATTTAAATGCCATTTAACAAAGAAAAATCAACCAAAAAAATGAGTTCACGTGTCACCTATGACACGCGTGTCATAGGTTCGCCATCACTGCTCTATATGGATAAAGTATACCTCAAAGGCTAAGCAGTGTATCTATTGAGGTGGGAATCTATCCAGTACCTTTGAAATGTACCCTCCCTTCAAATATATATGTGTGTGTGTGTGTGTGTGTGTATGTATGTGTGTATGTATGTATTTATATATCCCCACAGGTGGACTATGGTGCAACAGCAGAAGAGCTGGAAGCACACTTTCATGGCTGTGGTTCAGTCAACCGTGTTACCATACTCTGTGACAAATTTAGTGGCCATCCCAAAGGGTAAGTGTGGAAGTATGTTGGGGTCATTTTAGTCACAATTTAAAAATAGATTATTTTAGCCCTAGCTGGTTTGGCCCAGTGGATAGAGTGTTGGCTTGTAGACTGAAGGGTCCTGGGTTTAATTCTGGTCGAGGGCACATACCTCAGTTGTAGGCTCCGCCCTGGTACGGGTGCTTGTAGGAGGCAACCAATCCATGTGTTTATCTCACATCAGTATTTCTCTCTGCCTTTCCCTCTCTCTTCCACTCTCTAAAAATCAATGGAAAAATACTCTCAGGTGAGGATTTAAATAAATAGATAAAAACAAATAGATTTTATATTGAGGATTAAGTTAACTTGCTGTTCCAACAAGTGTCCTTTGTCTTTTTTTAAAAAATATATTTTTATTGACTTCAGATAGGAAGGAAGAGGGAGATAGAGGGATAGAAACAATCATTGATCGGCTGCCTCCTGTACACCCCCTACTGGGGATGGAGCCCGAAACGGGGCGTGTGCCCTTGACCAGAATCGAACCCAGGACCCTTCAGTCTGTAAGCCGACGCTCTGTCCACTGAGCCAAACCGACTAGGGCTTAACGCATTAATATTGATGTACGGGGGTGGGCAAAAGTAGGTTCACAGTGGTGGGTATGGAAGAATATATAATACAAGAATAAACTTGCTTACTCACAACTGTAAACCTACTTTTGCCCATCTCTGCATTTCAGAGGTTGCACATAAATGCTTTCAGGGGCCAGACAAAATAAAGATGAAGGCTAGATATGAATGGGATCATGAACTAGAAGGGGAGGGGCAGCTTCTGCTTCGCCTTACCTGGTTCTGTCTTATAGAAATTCAGGCCCTGTATACCCTGTTTTACAATTTTCTAAGAGTAGCTGGACATTTTGATTAAAATTTTTCATTAAAAATTATTTGACCAGCTGGCTGGTATGGCTCAGTGGTTGAGCATCAACCAAGAGGTCACTGGTTCGATTCCTGGTCAGGGCACATGCCCAGGTTATGGGCCAATCAATGGTGTTTTTCTTATTGATGATTCCATCTTTCTCTCCCTTCCTCTCTCTCTAACAATTAATAAAAACATTGAAAAATTTTTTGACCAATAATTTAAAGGGTGAACACATTGTACCCAAACAAAGCATGCCTGCAAAGTTGAATTTTACCTATGAGCTACTGTTTGCATTCTCAGATAGCTAAAGTCTCACTTTTTTGCAGGTTTGCATATATAGAGTTCTCAGACAAAGAGTCAGTGAGGACTTCCCTGGCCTTAGATGAATCCCTATTTAGAGGAAGACAAATCAAGGTAAGCCCCATGCTCACTGCTATTTTGGTTCTATGTAAACTATCCAGGTTGACTTAAGCTCTATATTGTACATCCTTCGCTCAGGTAATCCCAAAACGAACCAACAGACCAGGGATCAGCACAACAGACCGGGGATTCCCACGAGCCCGATACCGTGCCCGGACCACCAACTACAACAGTTCCCGAGCTCGATTCTACAGTGGTTTTAACAGCAGGCCCCGGGGTCGTGTCTACAGGTCAGGATAGATGGGCTGCTCCTCTCCCCCATTTCCCATGAACCTTTATGTTTACTTCTCTCCTGATCTGAGGAACCTTCCCTAACCCCCTCCCCTTGGTCTCCAGGGACTTGGTCTCCTGCCTGTGCAGGGTGAGGAAGGTAGTTGCAGGCCAGGCCAGGCGGCCAGTCTCATCATCTTTTTCTGGAGCAGGAATTGGTCATAAGGGCTGGATTTCTCCACTCTGTCCTGAGAGATGCTTCTTCCCCCAGCATGATTTTCCTTGAGAGTTGGTGGCAGTGAATGGGTTTACACAGAAAGTCTGGAAGAACAGGGCCTCAGAGCAGCGAAAGTACTGCTTGGACATTTTTACTTTTCCCAGTTAGGGAGGGGTTGACGTTTGAAGGTTCCTTGGAAGAATACCAGAGGCTAGTTGATCCTCCTCAACAACCATGAGGGAGGATATTGAGATATTTATTCTTTAACTGAGCCAGTCTTGCGGTGCCCATGTTGCTTTACTTCTCTTTTCACTTAAATAGGTAAGTTAGGTATATAGACCTGGGCTTTTCATAGTGTTTACCTATCTGCTCCCAGGAGGTAGGTTCTGTTGTTGAGGGCCGAGAGTAGACCTGTGGAGAACTGAGAAAACTACATACAATGAGTCCTTTTCCTTGCTCTTTTGTCTCAGGTGCACTTCTCTATTGCCACTGTTTGGAGAAGTATTTTGTTAATTCCCCCCTCCCATTTGCCAGCTGTGTCACTGTTTCTGAGATTGTGGGGTCAGTTTTAGTATACTTGGACATTTTCTTTGCCCCCCTTCCCTTCACAGTAACTGGGGCGAGGGCCCATGGGGAGGGGCTTGTACTGAGCTATCTAGTGATTGTGTTAACACCTAACTCTCCTTCTTTCTTCCAGGGGCCGGGCTAGAGCGACTTCATGGTATTCCCCTTACTAAAAAAAGTGTGTATTAGGAGGAGAGAGAGGAAAAAAAGAGGAAAGAAGGAAAAAAAAAAAGAATTAAAAAAAAAAAAAAGAAAACAGAAGATGACCTTGATGGAAAAAAAAATATTAAAAAAAAAAAAAGATATACTGTGGAAGGGGGGAAAATCCCATAACTAACTGCTGAGGAGGGACCTGCTTTGGGGAGTAGGGGAAGGCCCAGGGTGTGGGGCAGGGGGCTGCTTATTCACTCTGGGGATTCGCCATGGACTCGACTCAACTGCGCAAGCTGCTCCCACTGTTTCCCTGTCCCACTTCACCCCTTTGGGGGCTGCTCAAGGGTAGGTGGGCATGGATGGTAGGAGGGATTTTTTTTTAAACCCAGGGCTCTGGAAGGACACCAAACTGTTCTGCTTGTTACCTTCCCTCCATCTTCCTCACTTTCACAGTACCCTCCTGCCTGCTCCTGTCCTGCCAGGTCAACCACCCACCCCACCCCTCTTTTCTGGCTCCCTGTTCCTTCAGATTGCCTGGTGATCTATTTTGTTTCCTTTTGTGTTTCTTTTTCTGTTTTGAGTGTCTTTCTTTGCAGGTTTCTGTAGCCGGAAGATCTCCGATCCGCTCCCAGCGGCTCCAGTGTAAATTCCCCTTCCCCCTGGGGAAATGCACTACCTTGTTTTGGGGGGTTTGGTGACTTTTTTTGTTTTTCAGTTTTGTTTTTTTTCCCTTTGCTTTTTTTTTTTTTTCCCTTTTATTTGGAGGGAATGGGAGGAAGTGGGCACAGGGAGGTGGGAGGTGGATTTTGTTTATTTTTCTAGCTCATTTCCAGCGGGTGGGAGTTTTTTTAAAATGTGTCATGAATAAAGTTGTTTTTGAAAATAAAAATTGTTCGGCCTTTTGAGTGTAAGGATTATTTATCTTCCTAGTCTCTCTCAGATTCCAGATGACTGTTAATTCTCCTTTGTGGAAGTGCTGGTGTTGTGGAAGGGAAGTTCTTAGTTATGAATTAAGGAATAGGAATTAAAATGAACAACTAGCAGCAACATTAAGTGTTTAGTTGAGGATGGTGGGTTTTTTGGATAGCACGTAGCCCTGATTGGTATTTGAGAAGTAAATTAAATGAGCTTGGGGAAGTAAAAGAATGGTTAGATTAGAGTGATCTAATAGCACTTTTGTGTGTGTTCCTGATAAAACTTATGTGCAAATGAATTAACGGCACGAGCACTGCTAGAATCTTAAGATTGTGGTCTGGGTAGCCTATCCTGTCTTTACCCCAAGGTGAGGAAAACATTTAGCTAACAGTTGCAAAGCTTATCTTAGCCATGCAGTGACCACATAACATGGGCTAATTTATTTTGGGTCCTTCCCTTAAGGATCAAAATGAGCTTTCATTGTTTTAGTATCTTTAAATTTAGTACAGTAGGTCCTCGGGTTACATAGGAGATCCGTTCCAATTGCTCGAGGTAATGTGATTTTCACCATAAGTCGGAACCCACTACATAAGCGCCTATATCACTCATGTGGAGCACATACACAGCAGTAATGAAAAGTAAAATTTAAAAGAACAATTCCTGACCTTATGGTAAATAAAAAATGAAAAACATAAAGCACATATGTACACACATCATTGAAATGATGGAACTTTTTTTTTTGTAAGTAAATTAGTGGCCCAGTGCATGAAATTCGTGCACATTAAAAGGATTAATTAGAGGAAATATTTTAATATTGCTATTTGCCCTTTCTCAGAAGTGTGAGATTAAAGAAAATTAGTAAAATGTATATGAAAAACTTCTTCCTGTCAGAGTCGAGTACACCACAGGACCAGAGTCAAGACCCCGCCCACCCACATGTGCCTCAAAATCGCGCGAGACCCAGACCTGGCTGC